CCGCGGAATGCACTGAACGCACTCCTCCCACCGTATTCTCCTTATACTCTTCGTTTCTACAGCTCTCGCTGCTGGGGACTTGAAAACGCGGCAAATGAATCGATCATTTGGGCGGGCGAGAGTAGTTCGAACTAACTTAGATTCGCTCGATTTTGGTAGATGATATGGTAGAGATGAATCGAGAACTCAAATACTAAGCTTTAGTTTGGCTCACTATGGCTACTGAAGACGATCTTTTCGACGTATTCGACGGTGAGGTCCCACAAGAAGAAGAGGAGGATGTTGAAGTGATGCCTGACGTTAAGGCTGGTGGTAGTAGGGATGGGCATATCCTCTGGTGAGGGTGTATTTCTTTACTACAGTTCGATCCCGAACCCCATCTGGGGATGAGTCGACAGAGGAACCTCCAGCTAAGGCAGCGCGGCCTTCGGGAGAAGACAGCACCGAGGCGAGCCCTGAGGAGGGAGAAGGCCGAGCTGAGGAGCTCATGTCTGAAGTGCGTCCGAAGATTCCATAATGCCTCGCACGGTGAAGATTCATGATAGGTTACTCTTGAGGCATATCCTTCGGGGGAGAACTGTCTTCATGAATGTATATTACCTGCGAACTGGGCAAAGGAAAAACGACTGCCAAAGTAGTAGTGCTATTCTCGGCTGGCTGATGAGAGATGATTCAATACTAGATATGAGGGCGAACCCGCGAAGACCTATCCCTACACGCTAGATCGATTCCAGTCTGAGGCTGTATCCTGTTTGGAACGCAGTGAGTCGGTAAGGCCCACACTGTGATGGGGGGCTATGTCGTAGGGATGCTGGTGGGTAGGTACTTGTGTCGGCGCATACGTCGGCTGGTAAGACTACAGTGGCTGAGTACGCCATTGCTATGAGTATGCGGGACAATCAGAGAGTTATTTACACGTCCCCTATCAAGGCGCTGAGGTAGGGTGGTGAAGCTCTGATGTGACGGAAGTGTGGTATTGAGCTTGGTGTTCTCAGTAACCAGAAGTATCGTGATCTCGCTGATGAGTTTGGCAGTGATGTTGGTTTGATGACAGGGGATGTAACCATCAACCCTAATGCGAGTTGTATGATTATGACCACTGAGATTCTGAGGTAGGCCTAGTCTACCGGAAGGGGATCTTATAGGGTGCTTGCCAGGTCCATGCTGTATCGAGGAAGTGACGTTTGTCGGGAAGTGAAGTGGGTCATATTCGACGAGGTGCATTACATGAGGGATAGGGATAGAGGCGTTGTATGGGAGGAGACCATGTACTGATGTGTAGGATGGATGGTATGGCAAACTTTGTCCCATCAGATCCTCTTACCTGATACAGTACGTTTCGTCTTCCTCTCGGCTACTATACCCAATGCGAGGGAGTTCGCTGAGTGGATTTGCCGTATTAAGCACCAGCCCTGCCATCTGATCTACACTGACTACAGGTTTTATCCACTCTAGGTCGAGTCCTTGGCCGAGCTGTTCTCTTCCTCAGGCCGGTGCCGCTACAACACTACGTGTATCCTTCTATGGGGGATGGAGTCTATCTCACTGTCGATGAGAAGGTAGTAGTAGTAGTAGTAGTAGTAGTAGTAGTAGTAGTAGTAGTAAGGAGGGGTTATCGTTGTTGTTATGGTCGTTATCGTGATCAGGGCAAGTTCCGAGAGGATAACTACGGGAAAGCCGTTGAGATATTAGAGAAGAATACTGAACAGGCCTCTCAGAGCACCAAGGGTAGTAGTAGTAGCCATAGTCCTAGTGCCAGTAGAAAGGTAACGGCTCGTATTTAGGTTTGAAGAGTAATAAGAAGAAGCAACAACAGCATACTAAGAACAGCGATCTCCTCAAGGTCGTCAGGATGTGCTCTGATCGCGCCTATCTACCGGTACAACAGCTCATTCACGACTCCTAGGCATGCCCCTGTCTCTCCTAGGTGATAGTGTTCGCATTCAGCAAGAAGGAGTGCGAGCAGAACGCCCTAGTCTTGCGAAATATCGATCTCGTTACACAGGATGAGAAAGCCCTTATTGGGGATGTCTTCGAGAATGCTATGGCGACCCTGAGTGAGTTCTCGGGGCTCACTTAAGTCGCTCGTTGTGTAGTTCTTGGAGGGTTCGTATGATGGTAGGTCCTGAGGACAGAGAGCTGCAGCAGATCCAGTCCATGCTGGGTTTCCTCTCGAGAGGTATTGGTATCCATCATGGCGGTCTCTTGCCGATCCTCAAGGAGATCGTTGAGATACTTTTCCAAGAGAACTTGATCAAGGTGAATACCAATACAGGTCATCTCACTATAGTTGCCACGTAGGTGCTCTTCTGCACGGAGACTTTCGCCATGGGTGTGAACATGCCTGCTAAAACGGTCGTCTTCACTTCGGTAGGAGGAGGGAGAGTCTGCCTGGGGGCTTACGTCGTTGTTGTAGATTCAAAAATGGGATGGTATTGAACGCAGAACGCTGAATAGTGGAGAGTACATCCAGATGGCTGGCCGAGCTGGTGAGGAAGGGTCTAGGCTGGGGTGACCATTTATGGCGTGTTCAGGTCGACGAGGAAAGGATGATAAGGGTTTGGTCATCATCATGCTGACGGATAAGGTCGAGCCTAATACGGCTAAGGACATGTTCCTAGGTAGGGCGGTGCTGGTCATAGTCGAGGTCTCTGGTTCGAATCCCGGTGGAGGCATTTTTTGGGGTTATTTTTTGATGTATGTAGGTGATGCGAGTCGGCTGGACAGTCAGTTCTACCTCGGGTACAATATGCTGCTCAATATGCTCAGGCTTGAAGGTGAGTGGTAGTCTGTGTTGGAATATATGTTCGCTTTCCGCACGTGAGCTCAGGAATTTCCTTACTGATCATAGGAGTTTATATACGAATTGCGATAGAAGTTTTCAGAAACCATTTAAGAATTTCCCAGAATTTTTTTGGAAATTCTCATAATTTTAGCGGCACATGTTGTTGAGCATGTGCATATTCCCCCTCGCTGGTGGTAGCCGTAGTGGCGTGAAACTCTGTGATGGCTGTTCAGGTGTTGACCCCAACTACCTACTCGAGAGGAGTTTCTCACAGTTCCAGAAGGACAAGGGCTGCATAGCGGCCAAGGAGAAGGTAGTTCATCTGGGGATAATTTCGTGGCGCGTGACGGTGGTTTGCCCTGATCAGCATTCGGAATTGAGCCATAAGTTGGAGGATGCCACTGAGGAGCTGAATAAGGTCACTGCTGATGCCTCAAAGAAGATGAACTTTGATGTTAAAATGGTAGCAGTGCTC